AATATACCCAAGTTAACTACAACTAGGAATATAAATGAATTTAATTAAATTGAACACTTTGATAAAATTGAAATATGAAATTTCAATTTTCAAATGTGAATTCATTAAATTATTGAATTGTTAAATACTACATTTGATATATTTGAATATATACCACATAAAATGATACATGAATGATTTATCACTTATTTTTTAAAGCAAATTTTATCTAAAAAATTCAGTATCGCTTAATTAATTCAAATATTCAATTTTTTTATTATCAAACATGTTTAAACATGTTAAGATCTGAATTTATTAAATTTAAATGTTGAACTAAATTATCAAATGAATTTAAAATTTTGTTTAAATTTGATTTATTTATTTGTTGAACTAAAAGTCCTTATCGAATCAAACTCGACTAACTTCAAATTTTTACATATAAAATTCAATTTTATACTAATTGAATCAAGTTGAACCGAATTTAAAAGTTTGTCGAGTATAAAACATTGTTCAAATTTAAATGAATTAGTTAGTGAACTAAACTCAAACGAAACTCTTACCAATCCAATCTCGATTCAAATATCAAGTGGCTTAATTCATCTTTCAACTCTAGATATAATATATACAATTTCCCTTCCATGGTCTATAGGGCATATCCTATCAATATTAAGATTTTAAAGATGCAATTAGAAGTGAAATCTGAATTGAGATCCCAAGATAAACTTCCCGAATAGGACAAGTAACACAATCTGTCTTCCAATTAACTTATCTGCACTATTACCACTTAATATCTCACTCACAAGAGATGGTGCGTTTGACGCCTTCTTATAGTGTGCTATTAAAAGTAATACCGCTAGATATATTATAATAGAATTCAATCCAAATGTCAATGGGTTAGATGTTATCCAAACTCAACCCGAACTTAATGTACTTTGGTAGAGTTTAGATTTAATTTTTTAAAATTAGATCTTATTTAAATTCAAATCCTATAAGAAAAATATGGGTTTGGATAGGGTTTGATTTTTAATTATCTACTAGTTTTTTCAGTCTCACACGATGCGTGAGGATGCCCTGGGTCTGTGTTAAACAAGTTCAAATGAAGACAAGTGAATTAATATAAAATAGTTATATATTAAATACATGATGGGTGCTAGTAACTATGGGGAATTTAACTTTAGGTAAATTAGTTATTGTCGTTATTCGTTTACTCAATTTATTTATGAAGTTGAAGAGATTTTTGTACCTACTGGACTTGGACTACTAATTGACTTAATGTGAGATATCGATACGATGTATTAGTATTGATATATTAGTATTTCATATTTGCTATAAATTATCAACGATCTAACAGTAGTCATGTGTGTGAGTGTGTATTTTTTCCTAATTGCACTGATAAATAAGACCTTGAAATTAGGTTATCTAACATTCTTAATGTAGCATTAATCAGTAAGTAATGACTAAAATTCGGTAGAATTATAAGGCATGGTTATCTAACTTTTTTAATGTATCATTAATCACTAAATAATGCCTAAAATTATAAAATGGGTTTATCATTTTCTATTGTTTGCTATACTTGAATGAGCTTTCAAACATATTTAAAAATATTTTTAGACCAATGTAAAATTAAATTAAATTTTTTTTTTGTATATTCAATGGCTTTTTTCTTTTACATTAATAGGTCTGGATGCATGACATATAATTTTTATTCAACTCTAATCCCACCATGAGCTCGGTTTATATATACTATCATTTCTCCTAATCAAGATTTCATATTGGATCCTTTTTTTTTTGTTGCAATTCAGATGATTGTTTGATTGATAGATTAAAAGTGTTCAAGAATGAAGGGAGCAACAATGGTTTCTTTGGACAAGACATCATCCATTGAAAATGAGTCTCGGACTCTCAATATTGAACGACTTCAACTTGCAGGAGTAAATATACATATTTTCTTATTTTTCTTTTTTCTTCCCTTTTTTTGGTTGTCTATTCTTTGTTTATTTTTGGAGATTTTAATGATTTTGGTTTTGATAATTTATATAGGAGGCAGCACTTTATGTGGTGAGTACGAGAAGTATGGAAGAAACTCTTTGAATTTTCACTAAGATAATGGCTTAGATATATACAATATCCAACGAATTCTTGAGTTAAAAATTTTTCCTTTCTATTTTCTAGGTTCTTTAGATCTATAATTCTTACTCATTTGATGATTCTTTCGGTAACTTGGTTGATATTTTTTTTTGTTGTAATCTGTATCATAAGCTGCAAAATTATAGGTTATTTTGTATTCTTAAATCATGTGCTAAAATATGTGAGTTTCTCTGTTTCTTTTCCTTTTTTAATAAAAGTGGTATTCAAAATCAAGAGATAGTTGGAATCTTTAAATGGTGAATTCCAAATCGACTTGTGTTTACGGATAGATTGAAATAAAATGCTAAGAAATAAAGGATGGATCTATTTTACAAATGGGGTGATAAACTCGTGTTTAAAATTAGAAAATATGTATTTATAGAATCATTTTTTCATACTTGAAAGAAAAAATTAGGACTATTGTAAAAGTTCAAAAACTATCTGTGTTGTCCACAAAAGAGAACAATAAGTCAACAAAAATTAGAGTAAAAAAATAACAAAATTACAAAACAACCAAGCAAATACTCCCTCCGTCCCACTTTGATAGTCCTGTTTTCCTTTTTCGTCTGTCCCAAATTGTAGTCCACTTCCCAATTGAAAAATGTAGTTGTATTTTAATTTTTCTAAAATACCCTTATTCAATGTAAGTTGTTGTTACTATAAATCTACCCCATTTAATGAGAGTTAATTCTTTTTTTACCATCAATTCAAGTTCCCATAAAGTTGTACTTTAATTAATGTGAGAGTATTTTAGGAAAATAGCTACCTAAATTGATTGTTCTAACAAACTTAACTACTTTTTCTTAAACTGTGTGAAAAAAAAACCAGAACTATCAAAATGGGACGGAGGGAGTATAACATACATGTTGAATGAAAGGAAAATAAATGGTATGATTGGAAAATATGGCAAACACCTAAGGCTAAACTAATACTCGTAAATAGCTAAGGTGGCCTATCTCTCCGGATCACAAAGGGTAACAATGACTCAAACAAAAGAGGTACAAAGAACAAATAAATTACAAAGAAATCACAATACTATAGCATGCATCTTCCGGTGTCTTGAGTAAGAGAGAAACAGCAAATGGCATTATCGAAAATTGAAGCACCACTAAGGCTAATGCTAATCACATGAAGAGGAAATTGCTGACCAAGAGGAAATGTTTCCATCCAAGAGAGCCACGCGGACAGAAGTGAATTTCCAGCAAAGCCACCACCACTGAATGGCGAAAGACCAAACCGCCTCTCAAGTTCACACAAATTGCACTATAACCAGCCCAATTTCACTGTAGCAATCCGAACTCCCGCTTTTAGTATAGTATAAAGATATTCAAATTACCCAAATTCATTATTGTATGGTCACTTGACCAAATACAGTAAAATTTCGTGTAGCAATCCGAACTCCCGCTTTTAGTATAGTAAAGATATTCAAATTACCCAAATTCATTATTGTATGGTCACTTGATCAAATACAGTAAAATTTCGTGATTGTTTTCTTTTTTCAATATAATTCTAGTTGTCATTATAATTAGTACAAACTTTTTTAGAAAAAGAAAAAAAATAATGACAAATAAATAAAAGATTGGACGTGGATACGATTGAAGTTTTGAAAATAAATAGAAATAGTCAATAATATTTTTCTTTTAGTTCATAATATTGCATATAACTTCTTAAATGTTAACTTTACTATTTGAAAATAAAAATTAGATGGTATTTATATTATTTTTGAATTCTATACATTTTTAATATATTTTTACTTTAGTATGTTTAGAAAAATATAACAAATATCCATTGGATACCAAGTTTGAATTTATTTTTTCACATCCATAAAGGTTTAGATTTGGGTCTAGATCTAACTAAGGGTACACTGAAATCTAAAAGCTGAAAATTGAAAATTGAAATTTGAATCCATTAAATTATTAAATTGGTAAGTACTAAATCTAATATTTGATACATTTGAGTCTAGTCACATAAAGTGAATTTAAATATGAATCTGAATTAAAGAAATTTAATCCAAACCTTACCCATTAACATACGTAGGCCTTGTTTGATAATGCAATTAAGCACTTAAACTTAGGGTGCGTTTGATAAAATTGAAATTTGAAAATTGAAATTTAAAATTTGAAATCTGAATTCATTAAATTATTGAATTGTTAAGTATTAAATATAATACATTTGAGTGCATATCATATTCAGTGATAAGTGAATAATTGATCACTTAATTTGAAGCAAGTTTTGTCTAAAAAATTCAATGTCACTTAATTAATTCAAATGTTCAATTTTTTTGTTATCAAACGGCCTGAATATGTTAAAATTTGAATTCATTAAATTTAAATACTGAATTGAATTATCAAATAGGGTCTTAATGTATATAAATCTTAATATGTTTAGATATATTTGATAAATAAAAATTGAACATCTGAATTAATTAACTATTATTGAATTTTCTATGCAAAATTTTTCCTAAAAATAAGTGATAACCTATTTATTTGTCATTGAATGTGATATATACTCAAATGTATTTGATTTAATATTTAACAATTCAATAATTTAATAAATTCAAACTTTAAATTTCAGATTTTAATTTTCAAATTTCAGTTTTTATCAAACGCAATATTAATTAGCATCATAGTTAAGGGTCAAGATTAAGTTCGGATTTCCTGGAGCAAAGGTCAAAGGGTACTATGGTACATGTACAAGCCAAACCGCAGCGGAACCACGCGCTCTCTAGAGTACGATATGGATAACACCAACTTGGACCCACAAATATGACGTGTCAACTAACGAGCAATGGATTAAGCTGACGACATGCGCACCGGAATATACCCCACCGACGAACAACCCGAGTCTACTCTTCTTCTTTTCCCAAAAACTATAAATACCTTACATTACTTAACCCCATGATTTTTTAGCCCTAGCACCGCTCAGACATCAGCCGCAACATGCTTTTTCCACGAAAAGCCCTCAGTTTAACCTTATCTCAGCTCTCAACAAACCTTCATAAACCTTATTTGTCAGTAATTTTACCGATTATACCACCGCAATTTAGCTAAATTAGATTTTTTGTAGCTCAAATTTGAATTTTTTTGAATTAAATTGAAAATGTTTGTTGTTGTTAACGTTTATGAGGATTTTATGCGGTCTTTTTGGGGTTCATCAGTTCCGTGATGGACACGGTGGGGTTGGCTCTTCCGGAGGCGGTGGTTGCGGTGTCTAAGCTTATGGGATCAGAGGGTTTTAGCAGCGGCGGCAGCGGAGGTGTTGGGGCTGCTGTCGGAATAGTTCAGGCTGGTCGGCCGGAGGGTAATTCGGTCACGATTCGGCCTTCTTTTGATGCATGCAGTCACAGAGGTGTCTTGTTTGCTGTCTTTTACAAAAACACTTAATTTTTTTCCCTTTCAATTCCTGCACACCATATTTTTATTTCTTGATCATTTCTATATAATCTGTTTCTGCGGATGGATACTTTGGTTGCTATAGAATGATTTGATTTTTGGTTGTATGATTTATTTTTCTCTCTTACTAAAAATAAATAAATTATTAAATAAAGCAGGTGCTCCAACTATGGGTGAAAGGGAAAGAAATATGGGAAAAAGGACGGAATGCGAACATCTTGTGATTAAGATGCCAGTGATGAGGGAAGGTGACAGATTAAAATATTTTAGGATCGTTTTGCAATAAATCTAAATGACTTTGTAAAAGCTAAATTCTTTATTTGCTTATCCTTTTGACATTATGCAAGTATACTTGGGGGAAGGTTTGTTCATGATATGCAAAGGGAATTCATATTATTGATTTCTTTTGGTTCCCTCTTCTGTGTTCAATTAATGTTGGTGATAATGAGAGAATACATGGTAATTGTAACTTAGCTTCCTTGTATATGCATTTCAGCTAAGATTCCTCCAGAGCCAGCTTTTCAATATAAGGTACCAGATACAGGACGTTTTGTACCTAATGGACAGCTATCCAACTTACATCTTGGTGATGCTTCTGAGGAATTGAAACTGCTTAGTATGAATGCATCTCAATCTTTGACTACTAACCCAGAGGCTAAACAGTTGCATCGAAGATCTGGGAAAGTCTCAGGAAGCAATAGTGGTGGTTCAAAGAGGTCAAGAATAGTACAGTTGGAACTTTCAACCGGTGAAACTGGTTTAGAAGATATGAAGGGCAGTTCTTCTCGTACTGGATATTGTCCTGCAAAATTCACAGTTGCAGGTAGAGTTCTTTCCGATTAATGTGGTAGAGGACAGCAATTACTATTGGTTGTGAGTTATTTTTGTGTCAGTAAACTTGCCTTTTCTTGGATTTTTAAGCACTGTTGCTTCTTAGACATTATGTATTAATGCATGGTTTGTTAGATGTTAAGAATCGGAATGACATGGATTGATTCAGGCTTGATATTAGATCTGTATATCTGATATCCAAGAGATCTCCTAAGAACACTATTCTTGATGCTTGAATTACCAAGTTTTACTCTGATCTGTCTTAACATTCAAATCAGGTTTGTTACAAGATGGCTATTTGATGCAATTTGCATTCTTGTTTGAGAGCGCAAATACCGAAAATGTGGTTTCAGAATTAAAGTTTTCTCAGTTTCTGGGTGTGATAAGATGGGGATTTTGGAGTTATAACACATTTTTTCTGTGATTTTCTTAGTGTTCAATGCTATGCTGCGATACAGTTGAAAGTGCAGGGAATGGTTAGAAATGGAAGCTTTCAGATACTATCATTCAAGCAGATGGTGTTTGCTGGACCACTCGAGATTTTTATAGTAAAGAAGTATCAAGCTGTAGGTGAAAGACTTTTGTGGGGTTCCATATAGATGGTTCAAGGAGTGGCTGAGTTGAAAATTTGTTTTTTCGACAATTTTGGAAGCTTAGGATTTGATGTTTGTAGCTTCCTTTCTTCATCATGCAGTTTCCTTTTTGGTCTTTCGATTTTGAATGTAGATGTGGGCGGTGTCCTCTTCAAATTTTAAACGAGAAAGACTGTTTGGGGTCCAATATCATTGTAAACATGCATTCTTATGCTTATATGAAATATACGTTTTAATGAGGCACCAGACAAAGGTTGCTCTGTTAGTATGGTTTCCAAAACATCAAAATGTGAAGGTAACACTTTTGGGGGTTAGATACATCGAAAAATTTTCAAAGCATTAGTTGCTCCAACCCCTTGCTTTCTACCCTCATTTGATGCTTGCTCTTTTCACCCTGTTTCTTCATGGCTCTTTTCTCTTGAGAATTGATGCCTCTCTACCTCTGATATGCTACCTTTCTGCCAAAATCCAAACGTAATTCATGCCTGCTTTTAATCATGGTGGGTAAGTTCTTTTTGAGTGTATTGCACTCTGGAACCATTATTTACTTGTGAGATTGAGCTCATAATCGACTTGGTGAAAGACTTTTTGAGGCTCCGTATAGGTGGTTTAAGGAATCCAATTTCTGTAATGTTGGAAGCTCAGGATCTGATTTTCATAGCTTCCTTTTTTTCATGACGCAGATTCCTTTTGGTCTTTTGATTTTGAATGTAGATGTGAGCTTGTGCTCTTGGAACTGTGAATGAGGAAGACTGTTCAGGGTCCAATATCATTGTAAATATACATTTTTATGCTTATATGAAATATACACTATAATGAGCTTGGCACTGAGGTGCTCTGGAAGTATTTGTTTCCAAAAAAAAAATGTGAAGGTAAGATTTTTGGGGTTAAGGTACATTGAAAAATTTTCAAAGTATTAGTTGCCCAAACCCCTCCCTACCTCTCTCCCCTCCTTTCCCACCCCTGATTGACACTTCTTTCTTGCTTGATGCTTGCTCTTTTCCCAGCTTTTACTTCTTCGTTGAGAATTCATGCCTCTCCTTTGTGGTATTCCACCTTTCTTTCAAATTTCAAACTTGATTCACGCCTTCTTGTAACCCCCAAGAGTGAGTTCTTCTTGAGTGTATTACCATCTGGAGCCATAATTTATTTAAGAAATTAAGCTGGTCGGCTAAGTTTCTCGCAAACTAATGGTGGACATTGCAAAGTGTAGTGCTGCTGAGCTGTCCAATCTTCTTGTCTATAAATTCCAAATGAAAATTCATTTCGTACCTAGAATTTTACCAGTCTTCATATCCTTCCGATGGATGACTTAGAAACAGACGGTGACTCGGAGTCAGCAACCTAATTGAAAGATGAGACTTGACATCATACGTAGTTCTGCTTCTGACTTTTGGAGAAATAAACCTGTCATGATATTTAGGAATTTATCTCTGCTCTATTTATATTATTTCCATGATTTCTCAACTTGTAGGTTGATATCTTTGTTCTCAACTTGATACATTCATAGCTTAAGTTTGAGTTATACCATGGGCAAAAAGTTTATTTGGATTTTGAGAAAGTATCATACTTCCAAGAAAACAGGCCATCCTTAACGTGTTAATGTGCTCTTCTAGGAGAGATTATGTTTTTGGAAAAAAGATTAAAAGATGGAATGAATAAGATCTCTCACGCTTCAGTCTCCTTAAAAGACAAATTTTGAATTAACTACTCATTTTTGTTAAACTCCTAGAGTATCTGAAAATGAAACTTAGGATACTGAGGTTGTATGATTGTATTGACTATTGAGATCTATCTGTTCGTATGAGAACTTTTGTTACTTCTCTTAAAAGTTTTCTGAATTCCGAAGCTTTCACAAGGACAAAACTAGTTATATACCTGTCTACACAAAAAGGGACATCAGTAGTGTCAAAATTATACTGTGAATATCTTATGTGAAATAGAATTTGAGATATAACTCGGTAACCTTTTATTGGTTCACATGTTATTGGATATTAGATATTAGTGTGTCACAACCCATCATATCCTGTGTAAGACTATGTTCCTTCAGCTCTTCATTTGACCCCAAAGTACCCGTGTTGACACGACACTAGTGCTGGCATGGGCTATGTGTCCGACACGTCGATAAATTTTTAGACACTGATTTTTGTGAGATGATTTTGTGAGATGTGATGTCAATGGAAGAGGAGGAGACAAAGGTGAGAAAACTCATGGATGTAGAAGACTTGTTGCATTAGAATCCTTATTGCATTGAAATCATTATTGAGCTATGAGTTGTTGGTTACTTTAGAATTCTCCAATCTTTATCGAGCTATGGCGTGTATGTTGGCTGTACTATAATTCATATATTCACTAGAAATTTTTCCATACCCATGTACGCATGTCTAAGTCTTTAGAAGTGTCATCGTATCCTAAGTTTAGATAGTTGACGAATTAGACACTTAAGACACATACCCGAATCCGACACCCGTATTCGAGTCCAAGTAACATAGGTGTCAGATAAATACTAGTGGTGTTCCATTAGCTGTAGTGATAAATGTGCTGGCTTATTACAATAGGCGGCAGCATTTAGGCATAGTTTATCATCATATTGTTTCTATCTTGTTTTTTTCCATTTTCAGGTCTTAGTCCAATCATAAATTTGACTACCATGACATATTTGGGATTCTTGTTTTCCATTTTGCTGATCATTCATAAAAAATGGATTGACGAAAAGTCTGGTAATAATGCCTGGGTTCAATAACCACATTATGACTTACTGAGGGTGCTGGAAGGTGTGGCTACACAACCTTTTCTTGACATTCAGCGAACTTGTAGTGTCTGAGCTCCATAACCACATTATCACCTACAGTGGTTGCTGGAAGTAGTGGCTATGCAACCTTTGCATGAAGTTGTGTAATAGTGAATGCAAGCAACATGTATGAACATGTCTAATGCCCTTTTAATCTGTCTTAGACAAGTAACAACGTTTGTCATTGTCCCTTTTGCCTCTTGGGTTGTGTGGTTTACTCTCAAAATCAAGGCACAGCATCTGATTGTAGATGAACATTTCTGTTCTGTCTATTGAACTTGTCCATTCTATACTTGGTTATCCAATTGGTCAGAGTTTCATGAATACGACATTTGGATTCTTCCTTTAAGATTTTTGATGTGTTCTATATAAGAAGATCTTGGATGATATGGTGCATAGGTTCTGTAGCTTGCTTTTCAGATACAGTAATAGATTCTTTGCAAGGATTGATGCTGAATTTCATGGTATTTACTCCTTTTCCAATTTTTTGTGTCTTTGTTTCTTTATTGGCTGTATGGGACTTATTACAACTCTTTAAATGATTGCTGTAAACAATTTGATGTCTTTTCCAATCAGAATAGTAGCTATTTTAAATGTTTGAAGTGTTAATTAAAATGCCAGGCCATGCAGTTCTGATAAATTCTCATCCTTGGTTTTACAGAGAAAAGTCAAATGCCTAAGCAAAGGAACAATTCAAATGCCAAGCGGAATGATAAAAGAAATGGTAGAATTCCTAAAAGCAGATGTGATTCATTCTGTCTGAAAAATGGCTTGGTTAGCTTCAGTTCTGTTGCTGGAGGAGGCAATTTTGTTGGTAAGCAAATGTTACTCTTGACTATTAAATTTTAAATCAATGTGTTGATTTTCTGCTGATGATGGATGAGGTCAAAACAATATTCTGGATTATTGCTGGCTCTTAAATAGTTGATGTTTCTTTATAAGAACCTTTTCCTTTTTTCCCCCCTTTTTGGGGGCTTCAACCTGTATTTTTATCCTTTAGATCATAGCCCCACAATTCTTTGGCAAATCTCAAATTTGCTCAACGCTGCTTAAAATGAGCCCAATAGGAGTCTTATTTACCTGTCAGTTATTAATAATGCTGCATAATCAATCACTGCCTTGTTGGTTTGGGGTATTTAAAACAGGATCTGTTGCCATTAGCAATGCCTGAATCTGTCAGCTTGGGAGTCCTTCCATTGGTAAACCTGTACATGATGTATTAATGACTGCATTTATTGTTGGCTATTAACATTTCATGAAAAGTGTCTTTTTGGTTTGTGTTCTGGAAGTTCTGTGCAAGCCTGGTATGAAAAGTGACTTCTTGTGAAATCAACTCAGATATGTAGACTCTATTGCTGGGATTTTGAAATTTCTGCTTCATTTTATGTATCTAGTTTTGCTGTTTGAGTTCTCTGTACCAAAACTTGGATCACTTTTAATTAGATTAGTGATTTTGTTGTTGGTTTCATGTGTTTTCTTTTCCAGCAGTATATGGTTCCAAGTCTGACATTTTTGATGGCACAAAGCCAGTTGATGAACTGCCTCTCAGTGAACTCCTTGGTGGCAGTTATAACTGTCCTAGTTTGGTAAAAGATAAGGGAAAAGCAGTTGAAAATTCAAATGAGAATCTTCTGCATTTAGTTAGAAAGGCCGCCTCTCTTATCTGGCGCCAAAGTCCTGTTCACTCCCAAAACCCTGCAAATATTAATGATGTTGATAACCAGAACGTCTCCATGGGCCCTTTCAGCATTGGTGCTTGTCCAACAAGCAGGATGGATGGTGAGAAAGAAGATTCCTGCACTGTAAATCAGCCTTCTAACTATAAGGTAAGTTTGGTAGAAATAGGAAGTATGGTGAACTCAAAATTAAGATTGAGGTACTAATATAAAGCAAATTTGAGCTCCATATCCCAACATGTCAATGCGAACATTCATGTCTCAAACTTCTTGGCTTTTGTTAGGATAATAACACTGATATGTTGCATGGGAAAAAGCTAAAATTTCCTTCTATTGGTGGTATTTACAGTTACATTTTTCACTCATTGCCCCTTTCTCTGCATTGCAAATGCATTGGAAATACATGAATTAGTTGGGTTATGTGGCAGCTCTCTCTTTTTCATGCTTTCAGCTTTTCTAACTTTATCTTGCCAATCTTATGTTTTGGTGGTGAAACTCGAAACATAATATGCTTTTGATTCTTTATATCTGTAAGTGCTCATTAGGGATCTCTTTTCTATTCAAGCTTGTATTTTCTTGTTCAAATTTTAGGATTCTTGTGGCCATATGAAACCACTTGCCGTTGCTGTTGATTCTCCCCTGTGTCCACCAAAAGATATCTTGGAACGACTTGCACTTCCACCATCCAAGGATTTGGACTCTCTGCTTCTGGATGCTGTGAGGCCTGCTTCATCTTCAAGAACTGGCACTGACCTCCGTTTAGGGAAGACAGTATTTCATCGAACTGGCTTGCCGCCTTTTTCTTGGTCTCATAATTCCTCTGGCCATGTTAAATCTGGTTCAGATACAGTTAAGTTATCTGCTAATAGGACCACATGCCCAGGTAGATGGGTAAAAGTGGGAAACACTCTTACTCCTGTGAAAGGCTCAAACCTTTCGATGTTAGATTTGAAGTCGCTCACTTATAATCACAGACTAGTTCCTTCAGGAAATCTACCATCTACACCTTTGGGGGTAGAAAATGCCTCATCCATATGTCTAAACATTAGTTCCCGTGAACAGGGTGTATCATCATCAGCAGCATTCTCAGCTTCCCAGGACCCTTCAGGTATATCACTTTCCTGGACTTCTTAAGTTCACCATCATCCCTTCATTCCCTTGTACTGGTGCTCCTTAAATACAGAGTCACTGACTACCCACTTAAATGTAATTTTAGTAGATGAACAAAGTAATATTGATGGCAATGCATTTGGTTCCAGTCAAATTTAATTAATATTGTTGACATTGTTATTAACAAGCTGCCCTATATAGACTTTGGATGCATAGGGGTTGTCTGTTGTGTTTGTAGCATTAATGTGATTCGTCAAGTACTTCTTAGAGCTTTCTTGACAGTCTAAAAAAGAAGAATTAATTCCGTGCATCCTCCTGTCTTAATTGTTCCACCAAATGTTTCTCGTGATACTGTGCAAAAGTATCTGTACTTTGATATGGTGTTTCACAACGTTACCATCAGGCCATATACAACAAAGCTCTTTCAACCTTTCTTAACTTGTGAAACCTTGGCCCAGCATGCTGACACAGCAAGAGTGCTAGTTGTCCTAGTTCCTTATTGGTTTTCCATCTGATGTATTTTCTTGTTTGACTCGAGGTAGGAAAGAACTGGATTGCAGCTTAGTTGGTCCCACGTCGGTCCATTGTGTGATGTTGGTATTGGTATTTCTGTATAGGGGCCAGATATCTCTGTATTCATGCATTACGCTTGAGTTTGTATTATCCGTAGTTTGATAAACCAAGTAAGTTGGTCAAGCATCTTTAAGAACAAATGCTTATATTGCTTATCAACTAATTGGATTGTTATATGGAATATTTGCTGCACATTGAAATGTTCTGGATCTGGAAAAGCCATTTCTGAGAAAGTTTTATCACATTTTTTTTTGCAATAGATGAGTTGTCTCCCAGACTTTTGGCTGCTGCTCAGACACTCTATGAAATTGCATCTCATTCCACGAGGCAGAACTCACATGAAATGATGAAGTGGTTGAAGCAACCTTCCCAGAAGACCATGAAAGCTTGCACGTTAAAATTAAGTCAGAAATCTGAAAAATTCTTTGTGCCTCCAAAAGCATCAATAGGACCCGATAATCTGGTCAAAGTTGCTGATGGTATGTTTCCTAGCAAGAAGCTTAGACTTTCAGCGGATGAAAAGACTGATGCTGTTTGTCATATAAAACCTGGTAAAAGAGCTCCAACAAATTGGTCTGCGCCCAGATCAATTAGATCATCTCCTAGCAAGCTATTTAGGGATTCGGTGCCTGAGATGAAAAATTACAATAGGCATATTGTCAACAAATCGTATATGATGCCACCACCTAGTAGGGTCGCTGATAAAGCTTGTAATAGTAGGCAGAAGCTGAAGAAGATAGTGCCGATGGATTGGAACTCAACAGCCAGCGATCTGGATTGATGAGTTCCTTTTCAGGCTTAATAAACAGCTTTCTGTCAGACTTATCATTTGTTCATTTCATCACCATAGGATCAATATTAGAAGTTTGTAGGTTTGTACATACTATGTTGCCTGTAGGAAGGAATGTTGTAACATTAGCTGTAAGATCTACACAAGATATTGCACGGGAAATTCTAAATTGCCTTGTATAGATGATTAATGAGGCAATAGAACATTCAGTTGTACACAAATGTCATGTTTGTATTTGTGTTTGTTGCTCTCACGGTTGTAGGTTTTTCAATGCTTGTACTTGCAAAGAGCAGTGAAAATAGAAGAGGGTTAAGAGACAGCTTGCTTTGGAGCTACAGCAGGGTTTGCTCGAGGCACACATTTTGAGCGTCAGAGAGAACCATCATTCATTGTTGCAGGCGGAAATGTAAATCAATTTTTTAACTGTCGGAGATGATGGCAATGCAAGTTCGGCCAAAGGACTGCCATCAGTATGTAGTCATTGACGACTACATACTGCACATGGCTGGCAAATATGTGAAGTCACGGTATGCATATTGAGCAAAAAAGTAGCTCGAGGACCTTTTGTATTGGGCTGTTTGATGCAAATTTAGAGTGAATAATATTCAGATGCCCCTTTGTAAATGCATGTGGGTTCATGTACTGTAGAAAACTGCAAAATTCTATCCTGGGACCATGAAGATTGCATCAGAAAAGGGATGCACTGTTACAGCTGCAAATTGTAGGTATTTTATGGTGGACAGGGAGAGAACGATGGATGAGGGTAGTCCGTGCATGTATTTCTGAGAGATGAATGAATTTCCATCAAACCCCAGTAGTCTGTGGTTGAGTTTGTGATGAAGAAGAAAAGAGAGCTTAAAAATTATCCACTTCTGTAAGACGACAGATAACAATAAAAATAATTAAGAGAGTTTTTTTTATGCAGCTGCCCCTTGGATCGTTCAATGAAGAACAGAGACGCAAACTGCACCTTCACTGCTTCACACAAGTTAAAAGGAGACGATTGCAATTTGCTCTGGTAACGTAAGGCAGTTCTAGTTCTACGCAAATCACTTTAGACTCTGATTTTGGCACGAACAGTAATACACTCTTGGCCTCGAGGTTGAAGGATACAGTGTTCTTTTTTTTTTTTAATTTTTAAATGCTGTTAGGCTCTCAGCTTACATAGACAAACTACAGTTATGTGATTAAGTTTCCAGTCACGCCAAGGAGATACGGGTGGGGTTAGCTAACTGCCGCTGAATTACTTGGAAAGAAATTAAGCAGTCGTCCACATGAGGGGATGTAGCTCAGATGGTAGAGCGCTCGCTTAGCATGCGAGAGGTACGGGGATCGATACCCCGCATCTCCAGGCCTGACATTTGTTTTGCCTCAGTTAATCGGAAGTGCTTCTTCAGCATTTTGTAACAAACTTGTTTTCCCATGCACAAGAAGGCAACAGCTGCAGAAAGATCGTATGCAGTCCAGTGAGTAAAAAGAACCACCTGGGAATATCATCATCAAGAGAACAAACATGTGATCCAGTACTAATATAAGAGCCATGGCAGCAAAATCAGAATTACATACGAGTTGCAAAATTAAAAAGCAAGAACTTGTAAACCAAATCATTATCTTTGGCCTCTTTTTTCTTTATCCCAGCTATATACAACTCTTTCTTGATCCATCTAACACCTTGCACGATGGACGTGCATGTGACCCTCCGATCACTTACAAATATCGTTTATTGGACATTCCTTTTCCTCTCTATAAATAATTGCACGTACGCAAGTACATTGATGTTTGCTTGCAAAACTTTAAAGCTTTTGGTGACACAACAATGGGTTCTCTGCAATCTAAGATGAATTATGTCATCTATCAGACTATCGCTCTTCCTCAAGTTTATAAGTGCTTAAATCTGCCATGCTCCAATGTATGTATCTACTACTTTTTAAGATTTGGACCATTGATTTTTTTCATTTTCTTGTTCATTTTGCGTGTGTTTAGCAAGATGTTAGATGGCAGGCTCGAGACCTAGTTGTTCTAGTCAGCCTGTTGTGTATACATACTGCATAGAGTAGCCTTTTCTAGTATTTCATCTGCCTTGGACACTTCCTAGTAGTATAAGCTGCTATTGCAGACAGTGATGTAAAGAATTCAAGCTTTGATACATATATTTGTTCATTTTGCCTTTCTTTCTTTCTTTTAAAGGGTGGGGTATCGTTGTCAACTAACAAAGGAAAAAGCAATTCTGGGATATGACTGATTGCTTAAAGAAACTTCAGAAAGTCTAGAATTATATTGCTGAATATTCGTAGGTCTGAATATTGTAAATTGGCCAGACCTAAGAGCTCGTATTTTTGGTATTTGGCCACACCTCAAAGGTGGTAAATGTATTTAATCTCAACAGTCGATTCTGGACTTTTCACATCTCTCCATGCCCCATGAATTTCCGGTTTCGTATTTCCTTCTGTTAATTTGCCTCCCACAAAAAATTAAAAATCATGAGTGTTTGATCTCTGCTGAGCATTTTGCAACAAAATTGTTCTCTCATTGCAGAAGAAAGCGACAGCTGCCGAAAAGAATGTACAAACCAGTAGGGATCAAGAGAAAATTTGATCCAGTAATAATACAAGAGCCATAGCAAAGCCAGAATCAAATCCGGGCTGCACAATTAAAAGAAAAACTTCTAAACCAAAAGATACGCCTCCTACCATGGCCTCTTTCCTCTTTATCTCGGCCACAACTCTTCTTGATCCATCTAACACCTTACACGATCTATGTGCATATGATCCTTCAACTACGTACGAATGTCGTTTATCGGACATCCCTCCGCCTCTATAAACATACGCAAGGACATTGAAGTTTGGTTGCAGAACATTTAAGCTTTTTCTGACACAAAAAATGGGCTCAATGACGCTCTTCTTGTTGCTACAGTATTCATCAACCTCTCCTTCATATACAAGCCAGCTATCTACTAGACCTAGCTTCTGCTAATCATGAAAAACCACGTCAGATATAATGATCTTTGCCAATCAATTTTGATGAGTAAAAACCAAGGGTCATAGTAATTTACTAGCTATACCAATATTTTTTGCAAGAAGCAATGGAGAATAGGCTTACAATATTAGAGTGATTTATATTACCTTTCGACGGGAGATTGTCAGAATGGGCTTCCCTGATCCATCCATGAGAATGACTTGACCGGGACGACGACCTCGTCCAGTGTAGTTATCGACTCTATATACTAAACTGCCGTCAGATCCAAACACAGCGAAACCTTCACAGCTAAAAATGAGTGATTTTCTCCAAACTGTTAGACTTGTGCATGTCTCATCAGCTGTATTGTTCTTCGACTCTCGTTGATCAAGAGGATTATCTTCAACACTGATAGTTCTTGACCTTGATGCGGATTTGAAGAAAAGAATCATACCTTTAGATCACTTTTAACCCTTTTAGGACGTAAAAAGGAGGTCCTGAAAGACATCAAGAATGGGATATTTATTATTTATAAGCCTGGCTGCGGAGATCTTTTGTGAATCACCAGTTTTGCCACCCTGTTCGTTAGGAAAAACAAGACAAAGACCACGATACAGGTGTTCTTCTCGTATTGGAATGAGGCAGTAATTAAAGAGTTTCTGACTAACTAAAGTTCAAAATAGACAGCCTTACCCAACTTGATATGTACCATATATTTATGATATCTCCTACATCCAGAGCCGTGCCGCTCTGAGTCTGACTGATGATATTGCTGCTTTTTGGAAGGTTATGTAGTAGCACTAGTGTTGTATGATCATAATCTGATAATTGTGCACATGCATCATGCATCCAGCTTTGAACAGAACAAAGGGTGAAATCGTTAACGGACAGAGTAAGGGTGAAATTATTGAGACAGCGTCTTTAGATTCTTGCAAACTATTTTGACGTGTTCTAACTTTCAAGGCAACTGACAACTGTATATGTAGTCTAAATAATACATACAGATGCACACATGAAGTGAAAATGATTCAGGTACGAGTTATCAAAGAATTAGACAGGCAATCATTGTTGATTCCCTTAAAGAAAAACAAAAATAATTCACATACATCATCATGGAAGCAGTAATTATTTAATTTACTTCTTATGACGTTCTAATATTAGCTTCTCCTTCAGTCCCTTGTGGTCTCTTAAGTCGAACTTTTCTTCTTTTTCTTTCAATGGGCCAAAAAATAAAAACACACAGGCACACATATTATACTAACATATGCAGATAGCGTTGGAGATACAGCCAGCCACGTAATTTTCTTATAGTTGGGATTCTTAATTGTAGTTTCTGGAGGGTTGGGACCTAATTAATTATTGGACCAAAGAATTCATGATGGGATTTTTTTTTTTTTTTTTGGTGTGATGAATTAATGGTGAAGAAAAAGCCACACATGTAAAATGAAATTTACACATCTGCATTATTTATATGGATACATTTTTATGCACGTATAAATGCATTAATTTGACAACAAATTGAATTGAAGAATTGCTTTGAGAAGGGGATTTGGTATTGCTATATGGAGACTAGACTAGTGTCCACGCGGTGTGGGGTTTTACAGTGACGTCTGAGAGATCTGCTTTGGACTGGACTTGATGTTGCTAGTCAAACACCCTATTAGCTTAATCTCAAAATAAATCTTACAGCTTGTAGTTGGATAGATTTTATCCCTTTTTTATTATTATTTTATGGTAATCCTAGCTAGAATCCCTACCAGCTCCTCTCAAGTCTCACCCTCCCCCACTCAATAGCCCACGTCTGGATTTGCTTCCCATCTCCCCAACACAAACAAGAAACCTTTCTTTTACCATATAGCTTTTGTATGCTTGCTGTAACGCACTCTCATGATGTGACCTTGTCAGAATTTTCGTTAGACATGACTCGAAAGGATAGTTGGCCTTCTAGATTATGATTATGATTATGATTGAGCTCACTTATAATTCTTTGCCTGTTATGGATCATCTTGTAGGCTTGGTAGTCCCTTAATCATCGGGGCGGGCAAACTTGCCTTTAACTAAACGATGGATGTTTTGTTCTGTGAATTGATACATTACCACTATCTACCAAAAATTACATTAATAGACGCCTGAAAAAACATACGCAGATGAAGATCAAGATGCCTGCTACAGAAGACAGTTGATGCCACCTCTACTAGTATGATGTTTACAGCTATATGTATATCCTGATTGTTACGGATAACCCTTTTCAATTTGAAGGGCTAAAGCTGTTAACATCCGGGCGGTGGCTTGAAAACTCAGTACCATGTGGTATGCGTAGTACGAAGAATCCAGACGAAGAGTACCGTCCGTCTTAGGATAGTTGGAGATAGTTCAACAGGTCGAGTTGAGCTGGTAAAATTGACTTTGTTCATCTCTTTGATGCCTCACACAACGTGAAAGGAATACCCTTTCCTTCCCCACTCCCTTACGTCTCTCCCTCCCTCTCTTTTTCTGGTCCTGCACGGTCAAATTCAACCTTCTAGGCCTACTGGCTATGACCCGACTTGTTTTATCGATCTTTTCTCTTAAATACTGCTGCCGATGAATTATGTCTCAAATCGAGTTTAAAGTTCAACACAGGTTGGCTCAATCAATTGAAAAGAAATGAGCACTTTTTTTATAAAAGATTGTGTATTCAAAACTGTAATCGATGTGAAAATATATTGGTGAACGATTTATAATAACTTCCGCGAGTCATCAATGGTTCCAGAGGCGTTGCCCTAACCCATCCAATCTTTTCCTCAAATAGTATATAAGAGGCACAACTAAAATTCTCGCCTGTATACAGGAGCAGAGCTAAGCATAATTGAGGGTGGGTTTTTATTGCCCCACCTCAATTATGATTTATGAAAAGCTCCTAAAGCTGCCTTAACAAATTTTAAATTTTATCTTATATGTACACCCCCTGAAAATTTCAAATTTCCTTTCTTTCATTATATTGCCCCCCTAAATTTATTGAGTAATTGCATTTGAAGCCTATTTTAAACATGAATAGATCCAAAATAAAAGTTAGTATTGTTCTCTTGTTTTCAAATAGTAATTTATTTTCCTTTTCACCTGAAAAAAATGAAACTAAAGTATTATAGTATTAGAAAGCAAAAGAATAGTCTTTAAACTTTTGGCACATACAAATGAATAAATGATCTTCATTTAACTCCTTTTTCAAGAACTATAGTTGTCTATTGTATAAAGACATTAAATGTACCGTTACTTCAACATTATTATCGTAATTGAAACACCTTATAAGGTTGAAAATATGACGCAACTATCATACGAATTATCTACGTTTTTCTGTCCAATTATTTATGATATAAGAAAGTTTTTGCCTTTCATGCATGCGTATAATTAACGGCCCACATCAAGGAAGGAAATTTTGGGACACGAATTCTTCAAACTGTAAAACTTATCAGTAAACTTGCTCATGAAAATGGAACAAAGGAGTCGGAAAACTAGAAGTTGATTTAATTTTGCACCAGAAGAGGGCGACCGGACGAATTTTATTCTAGTTAAGGTCAAGTTCAACGCATGCTTGCCGAACTTTTTGAAGGTGTCGGTTGTCTCTTTGTTCATCTTATACTGTGCTATTCCCTCTCCACGTTTCTAGAAAACCAACAAAAGAAGGAAAGTAAAAATACCTGAATTCTGAGGTCCTCCATCTCCGCCTAAATATCATCCATGTCTGATTATGTTCAAACATGACTGTACACTTACCAAATCCAGGTTGCGTGTGCTGTGGAAATTTGCAACTATCGACTCGATTATGCCATGCCATGCCATGTATAACTTGTAACCGATTCTGTCATTTCATAGATCCACTACTCCCATTATTTCTAGCCATCCTTTGCTAATCTTAGTTCTTATACATAGTTTTTTAGTTTCGAATTATGTAAATTTTCATCCACAATTTGTTACTCATAACTACTCTAATTTTACGTTTGAGGAATATTTGCCTACCAATCCCATATTATCACGATTCAATGTCTTACCTGCAGTTAGGAATTGTGCTGCAAAATCTTCCAGTTTTTAGGGTTTGTCTAGAACTTTTCAACAACAAGGGAAAAATGAATAATATGCCTAATACAAAAGTATTCGACGTGGAACAATCCAATGAACCAGTTTGTCTTTCGAGAAACTGGTAAGATCTTCCTCTGCATGGATCAGAGAGGATGAGTGACGAGTAGATTCAAAATGAAACAAGACGAGATAATCGGTAGACTTTCAAAACCAGACAAATTACGTGAAGATTTGTATGCCTCAAAATTTGGAATTATTTTGAGCAAACAACCAAATCCATCGAGGACACGCGGGCTTCTGGGTCCCCTCAGATTCTAATCACTGTCCCGTTTAGCCTAAAGGAACCCCATTTTTCTTGGACCCAAGAAAGAAACATTTATTAATTCAACAATCCTGTTCTGGGACATTTTCTTCTTGATCTACACCAACCACGAGTACAAATGATGCAAGAGAGAAGTGTTTTGAGTTTTGACCATATACCAAGTGCATTAGGCTGCTAATCGCTCGAGTTTGGGGGTACTAATGAAGCATCAATAGAGAAGGAAAATTCATGTATTGTGCGCACAATCGTCACAAAACTTTGCTCCTCCAAAAATATTTCTGATGCCACTTGCTGGTTCATTCAATCCTTTAGGTTCAAAATTTAAAGAAAATAAGCCATGCAGAAACAGGACAAACAACTAGAAATCGAGAACTAATTCGAAGTATAAGTAATAAATTCAAGAAAAGGCTGGACCATAATTTATTGAATATTGTACACAAAAGGAAGTCAGTGCAAATACTGCTTCTAGTTAATTCATGTAAACAAGTGGATGAAACAGTAAGTGGAGTACGGCTAAGACATAGGAAATGGGATATAATAGTAGTCAACAGCATTACTTTCCTATCATGAGAAAAGAAGAATGATAGAGTAGTCATGCAAGCCTTAAAGCCTGCAATTCCTCTAACGGGAAAGAAGCCAGGGATATACCTCCCAGCTATAAACAAAAATGTACGAAAGTCACGAATATGCATGCTTGGAGACTAGTGAAATCACCAAAATAAGGAGCAGGGCAGGTAAAACAATTCACTGAAACATCAAATGAAATTTGTTGTTTTGCACCGTTTTTCTTCTCCACGAGATCCATTGAATCTGACTCAAGAAGTGCGAGGCCATGTGGTTTTAGACATCGACAGCTCCACAGGCTGTTCCCGAATTCCAAAAGACAGAATGATCAGCAGATTGTACTTAAGTTTGCATAATAAGCAAACAACATATTAGAGGAAAATGGAAGAATAGAAAAATATTATCAATCATTAGGAAATCAATATGCTTGATTGTAGCACAGAAATGCAAAACTTAGAAAAGAAAGGGGTTTGGTTTCTTTCACTTTGGGTATAACAAGCCCTAACAGAGTCAAAGGCTTTGCAAATGAATAACTGACTTTCATTGAATAAATTCCTCCGGGAAGTATGATCTCTTGTGTACAGCTTTCAAAGCTTTGCCAATGATGCGCCTCTGAAAGACTGAAAGTGCTTCTGCAGACTTCATATTTTGCACTCGCTATACATATAAATGGTTAAAATTAAATGCATTTGGTGAAAAGCAAGGAAATCCAAATTAACACAAGAGTACGAGGAATTACAGCTTATCCTTGAAAAGCTGAGTTAACCTTCACCTATAGGTAATGGTTCAGAAATATCAAGCTGTCGCGCTGTCTCTCAGATATCATTAACTCTCTAACTGCTGTTGCCATGGGCCTCACATTGGGATTCCTGGGAATCTTATGTAAAGATTGGCATTAGTGCTAAGACCTTCAAGACCTGCTATAGAAACAGAAAAATTGTGAGTTGTTTAATACA